CAACACGTAGGCACGGTTGGATAACTATATACGTTCAGCTAACAATGTACGCACATAATGCACCCACCTTATGTCTGAATCAAAGGCTTTTGAAACGAAGCTCCGTTGCAGGTTAGTTCGATCTGCAGAGCCTGCACAATTGGCCAATGAGAGGTAGATCGAAGAAACCACTAAATATCAACATAATTTTGCAAAATTATCTTGATGTTTAGTGGTTTATATGCGCGCTTTCTCTGCGCTATTGCAATAGTTACGTGTTCAAAATGGATGTAATTCACCGTTCCCTATAAACGATTAACACAGTCAACAGCCGTCCTGCCCACGGTCAAAACTCCACCCTCAGTGGATAATCTCCCTCATTTTATTCTTATCAAGGATATATAAAAAGTTTCATACTAAAAAAAATACTGAAGTAATAATTACAATTAGAATTCACCCATTGTTCTCAAGCAATTTCAACAGATGTTTTGAAAACACCAACTTTTGATGAAAATGTACCTATAAAGTTTTTTTAATTAGGCGATATACCAGCGTCCGTTTGGTGATTCGAACAACTGATACTAACGCTTGGTTCTTGCATGTGGCCTTGCCGACACGCTTTAACAAAATCCATTAATAAAGCCAACCCAGTCAAACTTATTGTCGCAAAGAGTATACAGTTGAATAAAAAGTCTTTAAGTTCTCATGAGCACACTCGCGGCCGTACCTAACGAAGAGGGTCATACCAAGCTCGTACAATCTGGCTATTCCACGATCTCGTTAGCCGTTCTCGAAGCTTTAATGGTTGATGGCGAAACCATCAGTTTTATAAAGATAAAAGTAAATCCAAAATATATACAGCTATTATCTACTTCCTATCAAGTTTAATTAGACAGAAACATCAAACATCTATATTTGAATTTGAATATACTTGAAACCGGCCACCGCATTTGAAGCACACATTTGAGATAGATATTTTGTCGCTGAGATTCGAACCTGGTACCTAAGTAAGCAAGTACGTCGTGTCCCAGACATAGATCCGTTGACTCTCATCATAGGTCCTCTATCTTATGTCTTTGACATTAACATGGGATTTAATAAGAAATCTGTAGTGCGTAAACAACTTTTGTAATCCATGCTTTTGTACATCTTTTTCTGTCTTATGCCAGTTTAATTTTAAAATATTTCACAAATTAAAAAGTATATTAATTAAGCTTCCGTATTCAGTATTTCCTTGACTTATGGAATAATTCTAAATCAAATTTATCTTGCGTTGTATCTTATTGGTGAGTTTAATAAATTAAAAACAAATTATACACGCGGCACAGCAAAAGTCGGTGTAAAGTTAAATTGTATACATTTTATAGCCATTATAATTGTCAAAGAAAACTGATAAAAAGGCTTCTTTATTTAGAAAACAATAATGAGTCCTTTAAGATGCCGCTTCCATTGTTTTTCATTTGTCGCTGTTGTTTAAGAAGTCATGAGTCCCTTTTTTTAAATGTTATCGTAGTTCTGTTTATTTTTTTTTATCTGGGATCTGAGTAGTCAAAGGCGTGCGAAATTGAATGCGAATGGGAATTGTTTTTGCGAAAATGAAGGGTTCGTTACTAGTCATAAAGTTTGCGAAGCTAATAATAAACGGTAAAATGAAAGTTGTTAACTCGACGCCGCCATATAGAAATGTACACTGTAAACATTTTAGAAGCTATATTGTAAAATCACGTACTTCTGTATCTTAGGTAAAATATGTAATAATAATAAACAAATAATGACATAATTTAAAATATCTAACTGGCAAAATGTGACTACTACTACTATACCTACTAGGTATTTGATAACAGTTATTAAAAAAATAACTAATACGCGATATAATACGTATATAGATCGACGTTAGCTCTAGTGTAGAGTTCAAATCCTTGTGTCGGCCACAAATAATATTGTTAATTTTAAGTGTACTTATCGCTTGCTCAGCGGTTAAGGAAAACCTGCATATTTTCGGAATAATAAGTAAAAATATATCGAAGATATGTGACTTTTGTCAATCGTCAATAGGGTCTCTTGGATTATTTCCTTATATACTCAGTACCAAGGCATTTGACCAGAAGTGGGACATATAGGACATAATTATAGTCTGTTACCGTACTTTAATATACAAGATTGGCAAACTGGTACAGTTTCTGGCAATCAGATACAAAATATTCATTAGATAATTTATTTTCTTTATATAATTGTGAGAAGGTGGTAATTGAACTGATTTGCCACCTTTTTATAATTAGTTGATGTTGAGTTAGTGCGCCCATCGACATCTGAATCAACCGTTTGGTTACATTTTAAAAAGTCAGCACCAGTTACTTAAATCACCAGACGAAACGCAGAAGTAGTATTACACTTTAACTTCACGCCGCTATAGCCGTTTTACTTCCGCGGTTGCACCTGCCCATTCGTACAATATTAAAAACTACTGCGTGGAACTACGTGGTAACAATGGTATTTTTTTCTCTATCCAAATACGGTTCTGTCTCCTTTGGGCAGTAAATACAAAAAACTGCTTAGCGAATCCATACAGTTGAATTAGCCCGTGATAAATATTTAGTGTTTTGTGCAAGACGTCTAGGCTGTGCTTTAACAGGATGATCGAGCCATCATTCGTCATAATATTTATGTACGCCAATAATGGTATTTATTTTAATTTTTTTGTGTCTATAATTGTACAGATTAATGTATTTAATTTTAGTATTTTTTCTGTACGTCTACACTCATTTTTTTATCTCTGCACCACGTAATGGGTTGACTGGTAAAGAATGCCTCCTAGGCATTAAGTAATCCCTATACACGAGATTTGAGTCAAATTTAAATTTAAAAATGTAAATAAATAATATACACAAATATATTTATTAATCATAAGGTAATAAATCTCAATCACTGAATCTTTTTATTTGACAAGATAACGAGTAACTCTATGAATTTTCTTACTGTACCAAAGTTCCCGCATTGCTGGGATCCCGTTCCGTTCGTAGTACGTATGGACCATAAATCTTCAAATTTACCACTTTAACTGTCAACGGGCGTTCAGTTGACAAAATAATGGAGTGAGACAACGCTCACAGATAATTATTCAATTGTTAACCGTGAAGCGAGAGCGTGTATACATTGTTTGACTTGTTGCTAAGCAGACTTCGGAATGATGATTAGGTCTTTTTTAAAACTTCGCTCGTAAACATACCTGTTACACTTTTAATATATCCGCCGTTAATCTGACGCTGTTAAAAAGAGCTGTGACAGTTGCCCTAATAAAGTTCTAAAAAATTTTGACATTTTCTCTCTAACTTCCCCCTCCTTTATCGTGGATCATTTTAATATGTATTCATTTGTATTGAGTAGAATTCTAAGCTTATTTCTTAATTATAACACACGGCCGTTGTTTTAGTTTAGCCTGTCGGAACTCTCAAAGGAGTTTTTTTCGCGGTGTAAGCTTTTATTTAAGCAGATTTGCAAATGCCAGGGGCAGGTAAAAGGTTTTATAACTCGCGGCATACTGCACCGAATTCAAAGGGAGCCGAAGAGTAAATACTTAGAAAGTGTTTTATTGTTTTACGACGCTTACTATTTGATCTACAAAGAGCTGTTTGATTTTTTAAAACTCCGCCGTCTGCGCTTTATGATCGCTGCGCAGTAGTTACCTACCGTTTTGAAAGACGAAACTTTTCAGAAATCATTGTAGGACGTACGACCCACCCGACAGATGTATGATTTTTTTTTCGGTAGTAATAAATTTGAGAAAAAGATCCAAAGCAAACATCATGCGAAAAGGTCCGCGGTAAAACCAAATACAGTATTTTGAATAAGCCATCGATTGATTTCGCAAGATTAATGGTGTGGTATTGTCAGCGGCACAGTATGACGAGGGCATACGTGTTGTAACAAAAATGTGTTCTAACACCATAAACATAAGAGCGAACAAATTTCGTTGGAGCACATTTCAAAGCGACACGCTAATGAATGGTTTCCGATGTTTTTATTATTTCAAGAAATGAAAATCAACCGTGAAAGTCGGCGATTGAGTTCAAAATGAAACAGCATAGAGCTTTCTTTAAAGGATGTTGTAGAACTGAGTTTTTTCAAAGGGATCCAATGGAAATTGATTTTGGTATTCGGTGTGAAATTGAAGTTAAGTTTTATTTAAAAGCTTTACGGAGTAAGGTCGGGTTCGATTAATCTGGTTATTAAATACATATTTATTTGTAACGTGTCATAATGCCGAGTTTATCCATATTTGCTTTTATTTTTAAACTGTAATGGGTTAGAAATATTTGGACGTTTTGCTCTATAAAGGGTTGGAATAATATAAAAACGATTACACACCAATGAAAGTTATGGCCTTTCAAAAGTTAATGGTCATTATATTTGATTTTACTTACTCCAAGGAGACGAATTCAAAGGTCGTTATTTAAGGTAATTACTATCAATATTTTGACTACGGACTAATTACTGTTATTTTAAAATTGATGTACCGACTTAAAATTAAGGAAAATTATACAAATAAATGTCAATATTACGATTAAGTACTAAAAAAAAATATATCAAGCGGTCATGGTTTTTAATATTTTGTTTTTTAATCAAATGTTTTTTTGTTTCTGTATGGGTTAGTTTGTGACGAACTTTCGACATTAGTGAATTAAAAAAGAGTCAGCGACTGACCAAGTCAGAATTAATCACACTTTTTGATTACAAACTGAACTTTTAAATTGAATAAATCTTCTATAAATATATTTTTTATCAAACTAATGATAATCGGTCGAGTTAAAGGCGATTTAACTAGCCGATTAAGGTTATACCATCGTTCAATTTAAGTAGAACTTTCATTTGATTCAGGCGATGAAAATTTATGTGATAAAATCTTTAAAATATGCTTATTCAATCATGTATACTATCTTTATATTTAACATTGCTGCATGAAGCATGAGAAATATAAAGGCGAGTTCACAATGCACATTTGTGGGTGTGCGCTTGTCCGGCAGATGCGGGCTTTACGGTCGGGAGGTGTGTGCCGAACAAAGCGCCCATATGTCGCAGTGGCGGCATGTATGCGGAGGTTTACTATTGGGCGTTCAATACTGCGAACGTAACATGAGTCGGCAACTATCCGAATAAATGATTCGTAGGTATCGACGTCGGAACCTAAAGACAAATTTAATAAATATGAGACCATTTTGAAAACGTGACTTTGTCTAAATTTAAAAGCTTGTCTATTGTACATGAAATCGCGACTATCAATCAAATCTCATATTCTCAAGCATTAAGTCTATCGTATAAAATAATTTTGTAATTATTATTTAGAAAAATATTTATTAATAAATGTAATTTATTATTTAGCTTCGGTAAGTTATTTTGCAGTATTAACAAAAATTACATCCCCGAATATGAACTGGTTCTCTTGCATCTTCACCGTCGTATGATATAAAAGAATCAGTATATCTAAACATCAAAGGAAAGTAAATAAAACGCAAAGTTCTGTTAAAAGACTTCATTATCTATTGTTCAATGAAATATATATCGATTTTTAAGACACCTACATCAGGCTTTTTAATTTTTTGATAAGTAATTGGAAATATTAAGAGCTTTTAACGATAATAATTTGAATGCAACATAATTTATTAGCTGCGTACCGTAGGCTAGGTACATTCGCGTGCGCGTTCGCTTGCGGGCGGCGCACGCGCATTGCCTCGTATTGTTCCCGATTGAACTGTTACAGACGCGTGAGTTATGTGCTTCGGCCGAGCAGAGAGATACAGGCTGTTCGAAATGCATTTTCTTTTTCCACTGTCTTTTAAAGTATATCTTTTTTAATCTTTATATATTACATAATTCTTCTGTACGTACTGTGTATGTCACTGAACTCCTCCAAAACGGCTGGAAAGATTTTAATCATTTTTTTGCGTGTGTTCAGGTCGATTCGAAAATGATTTATATTCACAATTTTTTTATTTTTATTTTTTAGTTGTTGTCGGATTTAAGTCGCACGTACAGGACAACGTCTGTTGGGTCCGCTAGTACATGTATAAATCACTAACATCAAATTGATCGTAATTTAAGTAAGAGGCAGTTTATGAGCTCTTGAGGAGCAAAGTCCTCATCGAAGGATGCCAGGGCATATACGGCCTCTGAGTCCTTGGTTATATGCCTTGAATATTTATATCACATATATTGCCATATATAAGATATAAATATATTTTTTTTTAGTTTTTCAGATATTTATGTTCATTCGCGTTGTTTCCGTTCGAAAGTATTAAATAAACTCGTAATTAATTACTAGTTTACTAAAATTTATTTTATTGATGCATTGGGATTCAACTTCCTACAGAAACCATCGTTTAGTATTAATTATTAGTAGCTTTTATTAATACAATTTTTCATTAATTCGAGGCTCAAGAGATGGGTTACATCTACTTATTTAATTTCATTGAGCTTATTAAATTCTGTAATAGTCTGACGGACCTTCAGATGCAAAGAAAACCTTAGTTGCCTTGCTAAAAAATTTGGCGACCACCGCCTAAGTCTAATCATATTAACTATGAATAGATATGTAAACAAAAAGACTCCAGAGTATAAATGAAAACGTTAAAAAAATATTTAGCCCTGAATATGTTCTCATAATTAACGTGTGTGTGAAAGAGTTGTTATGTAATAAAGTCGAATAAACAAATTAAATTAAATTTTAATTTCATAAAGCTTGGAAAATTTGCCAAAATTTATTGAATGGAGTACAAAGTGGGAAGCAAAGAGAGAAAGACTACGGCAAATTTTCTCGATTCATTTATTAATGAAATATCGGATCATCCTTTATATTGCAATTGCGAATGCAACACAGTGACACACATACGCGGCTTCACACTAAACCAATAATAGAATAAAATCAATCTATACCACCCTCTCACACTAACACATAGAAAAATCAATCAATGATTTCCTCGTAACTACACAAACACACATACACAGTAGTATTAGAAATATTGGCATTGTAAACATTTATAGGATATTTGCAATCCATTCCCCCAAATTATGTCCGTCTCTTTCGTTCGCGAAAGCTTGGGCGGACCTCGCTTACGTTAGAAAGGGACACCGAAACCGGTTTTACAACTCTGCGAAGGGACAATGGCGACGCTATTGTTGAAAGTACCCCAAAACTATTTTTTTAGGTCACATAAAAGTATTACAATTGTAGGGTCGTGTCGCCTGCTTGCACTTACTGCATTCGTTTCGCAGTCAACGCAGCAGACGGAGCACCTCCCACGCTGTCCGGCTTCAGTGTTAGTTGTTCTCAAATCGGTGCCAGTGATAGTGGAAAGGTCAGAGTTTGTGTGGACGTTATGTCATCTGCCGCTGCAACTAATCGAGCGAGTGACATGTGGACCAACAGTGCCGATCTTTACTCACACAGTGTACGTCAAGCCAACCACAGCCATGGCTTCCAGTATCCGAGTGCACCCGGATACCATCAATATCAGAATACTTTCTATTCTCAAAACACTGATTATTCACACGTGCAGAACACCGAAGCGATGAATAAACCCTCACAAAATGTAAACAACAGTATAGTGAAGACGGAACCTGTGAATTGGCACAATTATCCGACCGAATATGGCAATCAAGTGAATCTGGAGATGATTAATAAATGGCGAGAAATTAATTATTACGCACAGCACAACGAAAACTATGCATTTGAACAAAGATCTTTGATAGGTAGCGCGGGTTATGAATCTAAGAGCGACGAAATTCGTTCGGTCAATTCTCCTGGCCAATGCAGCATGTCGGAAGCCAGTTACGGTTCACCTCATAGCACTTCCAGCGCTATCAAATTGTCAAATCCAGATGAAGAAGATTCGCCTAACTTAAGAGCTCTATTAACGAAAACACACGATAAAATTCAACCGTTCTACGGCAAATACGAGAAAAATTACGCCCCCGAATCGTTGCAAAGGTACCGCGCGACCGACGTGAACGTTTGGAAAAAAACTGAAACTGCAGATATAGATCGGAATTTGTCCCAATTTCACGGTGAATTTCAAAATAGCGTGAAGGAACAAACAGAAATCAAAGGGAAAGACGCCGTGGGTGTGGCGCCGTTCGCAAAGGAGAGCGCGCAGTCATCACTAGGTTCTGCAGAGAACTGTCAAGACATGACAAGGGTCAATACAGGCGGGGACAATCCGGATTATGGCGAAAACAAAATGGCCGCTGCACCAGAAGTACAAGCTTTCTACCCATGGATGAAGAGCACAGGAGGTATTTTAATTTCCATAACTAGTTAATATGCCATTAAGTATTAATAATTACATTACGTCTACTCGGTACTAATTAACAATTCCTTGTTCAAGGTGACGACAAAAAGGAAGGATCTAAGCGAACGAGGCAAACTTACACTCGTTTCCAGACTCTAGAGCTGGAAAAGGAGTTCCACTTCAACAAATATCTCTCCAGGCGGCGACGAATCGAGGTCTCACATGCGCTGGGACTGACGGAGAGGCAGATTAAAATTTGGTTCCAGAATCGCAGAATGAAAGCGAAGAAAGACGGAAAGTTGTCTACTTCGCCGGATCCTTATGGAGTTGAAGACATAAGTGCCACTAAGTTAAACAATATGACGGAGTACATGGATACTAGACAACAAATGCCCACTCTAAACGATTACTCAAATTATCATTTACATAACAACACCTCACCTAATCTAAGCGCAATGACAGGTAATATGCCTCAAAATTGCATGCTGCCTTCTTATGTAGGCGTTCACCAAAAAATGTGACAAAAAATGTTTTAAGAAGTTAATCTATTATACTAAGTTATTCCAAATATTGTCATGTAACCGAGTTCAAAATATTATGTAAATATTTAAAAAATTAGCTTATTCTTTCGTTAGTTGTTTTAGTCTTTAGTATAATTTTTAGACTCGTATTCGATTTTAAATGTGTGTATAAATTATTTTTGCTTAGAATTTTAATTTTTATATCACTATTTTGACATAATTATTACGGGAACTTCGTGTTTAGTATACTATACACATTAACATCACCAAACAAAACTGTCTGGTGTAAACAAATAAATTTTATGTATAAATAAGAAGTATTTTAACTAAAATTATTTGTGATGACGGTTATGTATCATATACTTACTTAAGTTTGTAGATCCTGTAAATATTTTAAAATAAGACGATGGTTCCTAATAACGTGGTAAGTTAGATACTAAATAATATGTGATAAGTGTAAGTTTCACGATATGATTATTTATAATTATGTACTTCTCTAGTCAGATACAAGGGCGCTATTAAAAAAGAGGAGTGTTTATTCACTAATTACTTAATAAAAAAAATCTTTATTTTAGTTCGACATGGTTTAATTAAAATCCTTCCCATATAAAGTAGTACATATAAAGCATATAAGTAAAGTAAAATTTGCTTACGTAAATAGTAAATATATTCAACTGGCATAACTATTATTGTTTAACCATATCCGGGTTCTATAATACATAAGTAAAACAAAGATTAATCTTGCATTATTGAAGTTTTCGACGACTGCGTGGCGCAGTTGGCACGGTACTGGCTTAGGGGCCGTGGACTCAATATATCCATTTTGTTCAACATGACTTTTTAAAATTTAAAACAGGGTGAAATAGTCTGTATTTGAAAATAATGCTATAGATAAATGAAAAGCTTATTAAATTGGTTTAACGTGGAATGTCAATATCGTACTTTCTTAAACATGGTTCTCATGAGTCTTTTAACGTACACCCAACTTTTATTTTTATTGCATTACATATATATATATATATATATATATACCTGCGTGTAAACACGTAAATTACATAATTTTAATCCGTTTACAAAGTAAAGCAATAGTTTGTGAAAACATTCAACTCTTTTGGACCTTTTCGCCGCTAAAACAAAATGTTATTGTTCAAAAACTTAAATCATGTTCAAAACCCTTTCATGCTCGAACAGTTAAGACCCTCTCTTAAATACTGCAGGTTCATTGCTCTCTAGGGACCATTTAAATGTGCAAATATTTTCGGCAGCTTTGACATGTTTTGACTAGTTATTTGGATTTGAACGAAAGTATTGGGGATTTTGCTGCGTAATCCTGTTAACCTAACTACCTGACTTTAGAATGCACGGGCTACTGGTATTGGTAAGTTAAATGGTTAATAGGTTTTTTATTGGTTATTCTGGTTATTCCTTACCACCGACTGTTTTAACTAATACAGGACACAATTTCTACTATATTAATTTATTTTTATATTTTCAGCTAAACCATTTAATCAATTAATTATAGTATTTTATAACCATAAATATTTAATCTAACTTTTTGGAAAAATGGTTTCGTTTCCCAAACACTTAAATTTTGCTTTTAATTTTTTTTAATTAAATAATTCCTTTTCATATTTCGATATCTATGAATACAAAGTTTCTATGAAAAATAGGAACGCCAATGACTTTGAATGACCGCGATCTGTCAACTGGCATTTGAAAACTGTAGCATGCATTGGAAACTAATTTTCGACTTTTAAAATTTAAAATATTTTTTATTACATTTATACTAAATATTACCAAATCTGTTGAATACGTCAAACGAACCGAAAATTAATCTTCTGAAAAATTTTGAGAAATGTTACAAGAAAACTATAATTCTAGTTTTATTATAAATGCAATAATAAAATGTCTACTCTACTTTTAAATTACAGTTGGTAAAATATTTTAAATACCCACATAAATACATGTTCAGTTTTATAGGTGAAAGCAGCAGTGACAATGGCAATAATGACTACTCAGTCAGCGATGCAGAAATGAACGGAATTGAAGTGCTAGTACAGTAAAGTGAAGAAACAGTCTATACCTGTCCAACTGCTGGACTAAGGCCTCCTCTGTACAGTACGGGTGTTGGGGTATAGTCCACGCGGCCCCACTGTATATTGGTGGACCTCACAGGTTTTCGAAATATTTTGTTGTGTTATTATTTCGAAAATATTCAGGTTTCCTCACGATCTTCTCCTTCAGAGCACGTGATATGTCAGCACTTAAAATTAACAATTTCATTGGTTGCCGGCACCGGGGATCGAACTCAGGTTGCTCGAATATATTGCAATAACGGCGAGCGTCCGGACACTGAGCCTGATTAAAACTTTCTCTTTCTTGCTTTAAATACAAAATTTACTTGCAAATGATTTATTATTATTATTATTATGTCAAAAGTTGCCAAGCGAGCAGACGGTTCACCCGATGTTAAGTGAATGCCGCCGCCACTCCTACCCCCAAGGGTTCCAGATGCGTTGACAACCTTTTGAAAATTGGGATCCGGCCACCTCACTCACCAGACGAAACGCGAAAGTATTATACTTTCACTGTACGCCGATATTCTGTGATTAATAAAAAATATTAATTAAAAATATCTGGTTTGGTCACTCTACGTAATTGGTTTCAATTCGATCTGATTCTCTTCTCGAATTTTTGATCGATTTTATATAGAAGTAAGATTTGTTTCTCTGATTTCATTTATTTCATGTATCTGTTGTTAATTACTCTTAACATTTACTTTTACCGATAATACATTAAGTAATCGTTGTAACATTATCAACCTCTTTTTTGTATGGGGGGGGGGGGATCTTCGGAATCTCCGGGACTACAGGGCTGAACCTTATCAACCTACACAAATACTATATGTATATCCATTGTATTTAACATCTATGGTCTCTACCTTTTTATGACCAAAAGCTAACGTAACCGTGCAGAGTCGAATTGTTAATCAGCATAGTCAAAGTCAATATCTTTATTCAAAATAGAAGCATTACACTTACTTATTGATCGGCAAAAAAATCTACTACCAGTGCGGAAAGAAAGCCTCAGAAGAACCATATAAAATTATTCCATTCAAAATTATTGATAAAGTTTTATTAAAGTAATGTTATTGAGTTTTTACGTAGGAATAGTTAATCTGTTTATTGTTTGATTACGGATAAGGTTTCTACCAAAATTATAAAGCACTTAAAAATGTAATTGTGTGCGTATATTAAAAGCACTATACTGTAGACATTTTAAATTACTGTTGGAAATAAATATAAATGTTATTAAATTATGATTAAAAAATCTATGCTAATTTTAAAACCGATGTGAAGTTACTTGCAATTGTGTTTTTTTGTTTAAACAGTTCTGTTTTATTAGCGCAACGTTGCTCACTTCGGAGTTCTTCCGTCGTATACGAAAGTAGCCCCTATCCTTTTCAACACAATATAACAATAGAAAGAATTGAGCGAGATGGCAACATTTAAACTGCCCTTGTCCGGAAAGAGACTGGTTTCTTTTCATCCCCTTATTCAAGGACGGTGGGTTCAACGCATGCGTGGACGACATTTAAACAAAATGGCTGGCTGTGCGTGGTTCGTATTTTGTCTTTTAAATGTTTTAATGGGATTTCATTAATTTGGTGGAGCAAGTAAGTAATACTGAAATACTTTTTTAAATGATGTCCTTAAAATCTGCTTATATCGGCAATGCGATGCTCAATTTAGTACCAATGGCAGTTGACTTTAGTCATAGTTATTTATAATAAATTTTTTATGAAAAGTACATAAAATATTCTAGATATTAATTATAAATTAAAAAAAAAAACAAGTCTCATAAAATTTGCCCACGTTATATCTTCAAGTGCAACAACACATTTCTTATCCTTTTAGCTTACCATGCTTCGTACACTCAAGCCTCTTTTTACTGATTTGTAATCACTGTATTTCATATTCATCATTAGAGATTTGTAATTTGTATATGATGTAAATCACTGGCATCATAATTTAATTAATCGTTTACTCAAATAATAATCAACTAATCAAAATACACATGCACTGTTATAGTACGACGAATTGGAGTACTATTGAATATTTAACAGATTCGATACTGGCTTATTGGCCTAGACACTTTTATTTTGTTATACTCGCTATAAAAATAAATGGTAATACCATTAGCACGATGTCTGCAAAACAAGTGTGAAATTATACGTAATCCTTAATCAAAACAAAAGACAAACGAACTTCTCTACAAACGACATCTCAACGCGCCCTATTTATAAGTCAAACTCTGTGATCTTGTAATGTTACAGCTAATTGTCAAAGCTGATTTGAATCACATCACACAAAAGAACAAGAATAATACGTTCCGCCTCCGACATGCAAGTTTGTCGGTCCGTCCGCAGTTGGCTAGAGGTACGCTGAATAGCCAGTGAATGGCAGGGCCAATTAATCCCACCGTCGACGTGGCAGCCCTCATTGAAGCCGGATCAAAAGGAACCTTCTAATGGATATTTGAATTCGATAGTACGTAACCTTCGAAGGACCCAAATTCGAGTATTGCGAGACTTACAAATAAAACGAGCCATGTTCCAATTTCACAATGTACACACCTAAAGCAACTCGAATAATTTTAGTTTACAATAAGTTTATTTGTTTATCTAAACTTTATTGGGCACCATTGGCAGGAGCGAAACGGTTCAGGTGAAAAGAATAATTTAGCATAAGAGCTACCACGAGTGATGGTAGTTGTTTTAATATACCTGCCTATTTATTTTATAGGTCTTTTAATATTAAATATAATAAGTAAATCAAATATTTGACAAATAAAATCTCAAAACATGTCATTTACATTTAAATCATCATTACACTATGTACAAATAACTATACAAAAAAATTATGACCTGTCTTTATTCGCTCTGATATTCAATAGTCGATATGGCTCGCTTCACCTGCACTGTGTTGTCACAAGATCTATAATTTAGATTAAATTAGATCCACCAATGGCACCGTCTAACCAATCAACGAGTAAGCAAACTCTGCGAACTCTCCCGTTTCAGAGTCAGATCACCATTCAGTTACCATTACCTCAACGTCTCCTTTAAAACCAAACAATTATTATCTCAAACGATTTATGGAGATGGCTCTCAATCGCTCAAAGTTGATTCGTTCACTTCTAGAAAGTTATTGAAGTTATTTCCGTGTTATCGTCCGCCGTACGCGTAAAGAACAGATGTTCTTCAACGGGCGTCTTTGATCGCGTATCGATCAAAGTGGGACGCTATCGGCGGTCATAAATTTTAACGCAATTATTTTAAGTCGCTACGACTTCATTACTGACGTGCATTAAGTAAGTTTAGTAATGAGAAATGATAAACGCGGTGGCAGCGCTTAAGAATGTTTCTTATTGCGCGTGACGTGAGTTTTTCGTCTTCAATTAATGATTGTACTTACGCGTTTAATTGAAAACGTTTCGTTTTCACTTTTTTTAGGTTTATATTTTAATTAATTGAAAAGCTTTTTAGACAAACAACGTCCGGATTTTTTGTTACTGTTGTATTGGTCTCACATCAAGGTCGAAGCGTTAAGATAGTTATGTTGCCAGGTGCCACTCTCAATTAACGGCCCACGCAATTTGTGGCGACAATTTTTAAATCTGACTCACAGCTTTCGAGATTAAGGTGTTCTAACTGACAAACACTTCATCTGCAATATTAACATTACTTTGACTGTGGTAGGCCCACTCATAGACGAAACGTAAAACTTAACTGCCCTACTTCGCGCCCATATTCTGTGAGACCGTGGGGTTTCCCCGAACTAGCTTACTCATTTGTGCAACAGCAGAAGCTACCGCCTATTCCATATTTTAAAATCATCAGATAATATGTTTGGTAATGAGCCAATTAAATTGAGCTTTTCATTTTTATTATTACTGTGTTATTTTTAGCACTCATTTGCCACATAGCATGCGTGGTCTCTGCAGATGAATTTTATAATTATTAAATAATATTTAAAACATACTTAGTGTCAATCAAGCGTATCGTTCGAACTTCATTTCCTTGAAATCCGTTTTTGATATGAAATCATCATATCAAAAACGGATTTCAAGGAATTATATAATATCAATTTACACTAAGTAAAAGCTTTTCCATTAACGTTATCCTAAATGTAAGTTTGATAATATACAGATATATTACATAGAGTCGGAAGCACAGCGCGGAGAACGGAAAAATTTTAATGGCTCCCGAAACCAAATCACGCCGGCTCCGAAATTGATCAGGGCTATGTCGGAGCGCCTCCAACGGAGCGTTGTTGATAAATGATCACGGGCTATGGACAATGCGCCCAGCAGATTCTTTTGTCAATCCCGAATGTTTTTGTACGGACACTGATGCTGTTGGAGCGTGACATGCGATGTGCACCGTTTTGCCCCACTTATATGTACTTGTTATAATTCTATGTCGTTAAAGCGAAAGCTCAGTTATTCTTCCTTATTATTTTCAGTAGACTCATCCATTGTGATGGTGTATTCTAAAACCAGCTTTTGCTAGTCTTTTCTCCTCTTTGGATCTGGAAAGAGCTAAATACAGAGTTCTTTTTATATATTAAGTAGATAACAAGTAGCTAATTTGATTCGCAATGTCATGTTGCTAACTTAAGCTCCTACTGTTAAAACGTTCGCTTGCCTTGCCCTGGGAAAATGTTACTTTAAATCCTATTGTTTTGTATTTGGTAAGATGACAACTGATCCGGTGGTTCAGATCATGTTAAATGTTATCTCCACGCATGGACATCTACTGCACCAATTGGGTCTTCCCAATTGGATCAGTTCTCAGCGTTTTAAAGGCTCCGGTTACTTAAATAAAATACGAAAAGTACGAGATGATACATCCCCTTGCTGGTCTTCTGGGAGACCGCGAAACTTCCATGGACAAGCCTGACTGTTAGTTCATCCACAGGAGATGCTGTTGGGAACTAGAAATATTAAATGCAAATATAACCCACATTTGACATTTTATTACATGTTTTACATGTTT